TCGAGACACCACTTCGCAATGTCGGACAAACACTTTTGAAGTCGCAAGCAATGGTTAACAGAATTGATTTCAAGCAATAATTTTATGTCGTCGGCATACATTAAAACTTTAATATGCTCGATATTAGCGACTATATCATTTATAAAAATTATAAATAAAAGATAACCTAAAATTGATCCCTGGGGAACTCCTGATGTTTGTTCGAAATTTTTTGACCTGTAACCACGACATTGAAGATATTGATGCCTACAAATACGAGCCAATCAATTGAAAGATTTGATCTCATAAACCAATGGAACTTAACTTGTGGAGCAAGATGGAATGATCAATTTTGTCGAAGGCCTTGAGAGAAATCTGTGTATATTACATCAACTTGACTTCTTCTATCCAAGGATTTCGAAATGAATTGCGTCGAACATACAAGGTTTGTAACTGTAGATCTATTTTTCATGAATCTATGTTGGTCACAAGATATAAGACGGGAAACATGATTGGAAATACGATCGTGACTAATTATTTCGAATACTTTAGCAAAATTGCAAAGAATGCGATAATTTTTTATGTACCGGGGTAATTTTGGAAATTTTCCAGGCAGTAGGGAAAATACATGTTTTCAAAATTAAATCAAAAATATGTTTCAACGGAGTGGCCAAAATTAGTGTACAGTCTCTGACAAGAAACGGCTCTAATAACTTCATCTTAAGATACAGAATTAAAGTGAAGCATATACGTAAATTAATGGTAGATTCGTTGATGAAGTGATTTATTTGGAGAAATTGCTTGAAAAGTGATCTGCAAAAGCTTGAACAATTGCCTGTGGATCTTCTATACAGTCATTATTATATTCAATAGTAGTGGGTATGGAATAGGAAGAATTTTTAGAATTTATGTATGACCAGAATTGTTTTGGATCATTTTTAATATTATTTTCAATTGATCCTAAATATGAGGAGTGAGCTATAGAAATGTCTTGTTTAATTTGGTCTTGAAGGTTCTTAAATTTAGTAAATGCATCTATGGAATAAGCGGATTTGTAGGTTTTTCGGGATTTTTCTTTTTGACGAAGAAGGATAGGTCCTATGGTTAGGTTTTTTTTACCAGGTATATGCTTATTAAAAGTAATAAACAATTTATATTGTTTATTACTGTTCAATAGTTGAACACTTTCATCAACGCTGCTTGCAGAATCAAGAAAATTCCAATTTATATTGAGTAGTGCGTTGTATAATTTTGTAAAATCTGCTTTTTTGTAATTATACTGCACGTGGTCTGGTTTACATTGTAAGCTCTTAACTCTAATTTTAATGGGGACATCAATACACAAAGAAAGGTGATAATCATCTTCATCTAAGACTACTTCATCGGCTTTATATACATGACATGTTGAATTGGAGAAAACTAAGTCAAGCAGACGATGATATGTATTTTCTATCAAATTGAATTGATTTAAGTTAAAAAAATTCGCAAATGATTGTAAGACGTTTAATCTAGGCTTTGGTAGTAGCTATGGGTTGAGTAGTATTTTTAGGTTGAAGAATGAATTTTGACCTTTTAGCAACATCGGAATAACTTGGCTCGCTTGGTGTAGCCAATTTTTGGGAGATTAAATCTGGTGCAGTCAATTTATAAAAATTATGGGGACGAATACAAAGAGTTTAATTTTTTTTAAAATAATAACATTCACAAAATTAAATATAAAAAAAGATGCAAAAAGAGATTACACCCCTTAAGGTAAGTAAATAACGGATATGTAGACAAGTCTAATTAAGGACTAATGGTAGCAGGTATATGATTAATAGTTTTTATCTTAACAGCATTAAGATGGATGCAGTAGCGGGTCCAAGGAATTCACAACGAAAGCGGAAAATTCTTTCAAACGATGAAAAACAGATGGTATGTAGCGTATATGAAGATTTAATAAATACACTTCCAACAATGCAAGCCTTGGACCCCTGTTCATTTTTAACTAGAGTATCCGTGGCGACAATTGAACGCATTGTATGTGAAAAGAGGGTGACAAGGACCAAAAGAAAATTGTCGTGGTCGAAAAAAAACTAAATTGGACGCCCCACGGTTCGGCGGCATTGTTCATAAGCAATGTATGCTCTTTTAACTCTGTTTTCTAAATGCGAGTTCCATGTTGCTTGCTGTCAAAGGTGAGACCTAGGTACTTCACCTCTTTTGCAAAGTTTAGTTTTGTGTTTAGGAGTTCTGGAGGTTTTAATTCCATTTTCATCCTTTTCCTTGTGATGAAAATATTTTAGCTCTATAAGGGAACATCGTTCGGCAAACAATACAATGTATTATCTGGATGACACATGGGTGAATGCTGGTCACACAGTACCTAAGATCTGGCAAGATACTACGGTAACAAGTTATCGACAAGCTTTTGTGGAAGGTCTATCAACAGAATTACGAGGACCAACTGGAAAAGGACAACGAATAATTGTCACCCATATAGGTAGTGAAAGTGGTTTTTTAAAGAACAGTGTTTTCTTATCTAAAAAAATGGGGGAGTATCACGAAGACATGGACGCTCAACGCTTTGAAGGTTGGTTTTGAAAGCATACTTTCACGGATCGAGCCACTTATCACAACCGTTTAGTGGAACGTCTACCCACTATGACTACTAAAAAAGCGATGATGCAAGGTTGGTTGCGACCAGTGTTACCAATGGCAACGACTTTACTCGATTTTCGGATATGATATGATTATTAATCAAAGATTATAGCGTTTTCAGTTTAGTAGAAGTAGATTGAAAAGTCAAGTTTTAAAACATTTTAAATACTTTATCAGTCACTATTGCATTTTATTGCTGACTTCACGGAAAATCGGTTATTTTGTCATTTTTGACTCTGGCAACACTGGTTGCGACAAAAGGTAATTTCATTTTCTGAGGACATGGTTAAAGGGGAGCTTATAAACATAATTAAACAACATCGAGACAGATATTTACAGCATGTTGTAGATACATTGGCTTTTGCTCGAGGTATAACCGTATTAAGACTTCCTTTGTACCATTGCGAATTGAATCAGATAGAACTTATTTAGGCTCAAGTAAAGGGTTACGTAGTTCGTGAAAACATGACATTTAAAATTAGCGACGTCCATCGTTTACTGGAAATCGGAATAGCACGAATACGGAAAGAAGATTGGACAAATGTCGTAAGTATTTTTTTTTAATTTTAAATTTATCGATTATTAGAAGGCTATACTTTCTTAATTCCTATCAATATTTTAAATTACAATTTGTTCTGTATTTCTGTATCTCTGAATATTTAACAAATTTTATACTTCATTATTGATTTAGTTCAGAACTTTTTATAAATATTTTTTTTGTAAAATGAATAAAAATTTCCCATTTCTTGTAAACTTTTTTAGACATTTTATACAAAGTATATTAAACAATATTTAACGTAAATCAATAAAATCGTGACAATTAAAGCTTATTCAATATTAGCATTGTTACGCCGCTGCATAGGAGGATTATGGGTAATTCTAGAAATACATTGTTGCCGGCCGACCATAATCCTTCGATGAGTCACCATCATTTAAAAATTGTAATAGTATAGCCAGTCAGTAACATTTTGTAGAACCAAATCGGCGCTGATGACGTCCTCATTGAGACGACATTCCGGGCGATATAAAATAACACCAGACGTTGAAAGCCTATAAGTTCGATAAAATAATAATACCCTTTTTTTTTAATTTTCCGAGCCCATTAGGAGCCATATACTTCTGGTGGAAGTGACAGACGACCAACGGGAATAGTTCGACGCTCGCGACCCTATCTAGTCAATATCGGGCCTAGCAACAGAGCGGTGAAAGTAGAAGCACAGGCTGGGTTATGCTTGTTCCCATTGTCAAATACAGGATACAGGACGAAAGGGTAGCTGTTTTGTTCTCTGTAATGCAGTCGACTCGGAATTTTGAGACAAAAGTTTTAAAGACTTCATATATTCGGATTAAAATAAATATGGTACCTAATATTAATTAAAAACTGCATTACATAATATTTTTTATTTTAAATAATAATAATTGAATAATTTCGAGTTTTTATAAAACTATCACGTAATAAAAGTAATGTTTTATAAACAGACCTACTAATTTTAATTAGAAAATTGTTTAAAAGAATGAAAAGAAAAATTATTTTTTACGGCTATAATAACTACAATTTTTTAACTATTGTTGATTAAGAAATCGGTCAATTTCCTTATTTAATAATTCTGATAAGATAAAGTAATCATTTCCTTATCTAATAACACCAAATAGTTGACTGATCTCGAATTACTTCCGAAACATATTTTGATTCCAGGGAAATACACGATTTTCTTCCCTGTGGATTAAAGTTGGGGAAACATAAGAGTAAATTAAGAAGTTTTAGACAAGTGAAAGTTATACTTAAAAGGAAACCGAACTTCCCGCGAAAGCAAAAATGTTTTAAGGATTTTCTAATATAAAATTATATTTATATGCGTGCCACTAGGAATACTTTGTGATATTATGTGTCTTGGCAATATTAAGAGCTTTAAATTTGTGCTATGATAAGGCAGCACTCTATAGAGACGTTTAAGAAAAAAAGGTGGGAAAGCATATCATTTAAAAACTACTAGATATTTATTAAAACAAAAGCAGCAAATTTTCTTAGATATAATGCAGGAGGGCGCGAAAATGTTTTTTTATTTTTTTTACCATTTTTCCAAATAAATACTTTTTCAAGGTTTCTCCACCTGTTTTGTTATTGGTTGTATTATCTGAAAATTTCTCCAGAAGCGGAAAAAAAAATAAAGGCTCAGAATGAATTATAAATTTTCAAGGTGTTCGGTTTGCTCTTAAGTGCTGTATAAAGTGTTCGATTGTTTTAATAAGTGACTAGATAGACCTGCGAGGAGGAAAGGAGGTTGGATCGATGGAAGACAATGAAAGTGATTATAAGGAGAGCGTAGAACAAGTAGGACAAAGAAACAGGTATTAGCAAAATTTGAAAGATGTAATTATAGAAGATAAAGAGAAAGAAAAATTGGAACATACAATACCATCAAATGATGTTTTACAGATATTAATGGAAGACATCCGAAGAACGGAAAACAGAATGGAGAAGAAAGTGGAAGTAAATAGCAAGAAAATGGAGAAGAAAATGAACGAAAACAGCAACAAATTGGAGGAAAAAAATTGACAAATTAGAAGAAAACAGAAAGAGGGATAAAAAGATAAAAGATAAAGAAAATAGAGATAATAGAAATAAATGGGAAAGAAACAAAGAAAATAAATTAAGAAAGATGTGAATTATAAGAATATAAAGTCAATAAAAAATATTATAAAGTTTAGAATTAAATAAAGAAGAATTTTGTAAAAGTAAAGGAAGTTGTAATAAACATAGAAATTGAAGGTAAATAGAGAAGAAGTAGAAATAAAAATTGAAATTGAAGGAAAAGAAAGTAATGAAGAAAGGATTCAATATGCAGGAAAAACCCCCTTTCAAATGAGCTATCACTCACCACCCCGTCATTTAAATTTTTCGAATGAGTTGCTCACTTCCAGTAAGGGACGAAATTAAGGGTAAACAATTCATACAAAAATGTACATTGTAGAAATCAAAAATCGATGTGTCTCGGCGATTTTCCTAACAAGACTCCAGTAACGAGTTAGATAGGGGGGGTAAGACTGATGCTCACTGTATATAATGTGTTATTGTTATTGACAAATTATACTGAAACTGAAATAGTAGTTTGTGCAACAAGAGTGGATATGGAGTTGTACAGTATATTTTTTCTACGACTCGTCAACGAAAATCTATAATATTTGAGGTTAGTTATTAAGGGCCATTCGCACCGCTAGTGGTTAAGAAATCAAACGAAGCTTAAAATAACGTTGTTAATGTAGAAATGTCATTTTAAGCTTAGCTTATTTCTTAACGACTAGTGGTACAAATGGACCTAAGACAAAATAACTGATATTAAAATAATTTATGTTTTTTACTAATAAACAAAATAAACAAAAGAAAATTAGTCCTTTGTCCAGATTTGAACTCGGGCTATTCGCATGGAAGGCAGATGCTCTGTCCTCAGCTCCAATACCACCTTTATGATTTTGATTTTAATACTCGTAATTGAACTAGTTTGATTAAATTTTTTTTAAATTGTGGCCCAAATAAAAATCAATTTTTTATTATTTATCGATTCTAAACAAAAATAACTCATTAAGTGTATATTTAATCTCAATAACTAAAAAATATACTGCAAATTAGTTTGACAGAATAATTGTCACTTATTTAAAATTTTAAAAATAACAGTAGTTTGGTATCCAAAATATGAACTGTGATTGGTGGATTTCATTTTTTTTGCAGTGTTCTCACTACTTAGAATAGATATGAAATATATTCGTTCCTTATATATACTTTTCCTTTTTTAATCTGTGCGTAGATAAGCTAATATCCCTGTAGTTGTAGAAAAATATGTTTTTTCTACGCCCACATTTCAATGTAGAAAACTAGAATAATAACTAGAAATAATTACGCAACGTAAATAAGTAGTTTTTAGTATTTACCCCATAAAAACTGATATTTGCACCACTTCATACTATATTTCCTTAGTTTATAATGTTTATGCAACATAAATTATGTTTATAATAATATAAATACAAAATACGTCTTAGAAATAGGGATATCTGCTTCTACTTGCGCCTTACTGTTATTATTTTGGGTTGAACAATTTCACTGCTTCAAGGCACAACGCTTTCCTCAAATGCATTCAAACAAAATGATATGGATGCGACTGATGCCAGTCCGAGCTCTAGTGACCGGTTCGAACAAGAATTTTTTTGTTTTTATATCACATGCACCTCATAAACACGCATTTAAAAGTAATTGTAATTAAAAAATGTAATTGTACATATAAATGTAATTGTAATTGGAAAAAGTAATTGTAATTGGAAACGTAATTGTAATTCAAAAAGTAATTGTGCTTATGACAAGTAATTGTACTTAGACCATTAAAATAATATAAATTAATATAATTACAAAGTACAATTCCTCTATATATTTTGTTCAATTACAATTCCAAATTACTTCGAAGAAGAAAAAAAGTACTTAAATACAATTACAAATTACATGAAAAAAAGTAATTGCAATTATTAATTACTTTTTAACCAGGAATTACCCATCTCTGATATACGCCGACACTCGAACGGCGGATGTTTTGATTGAAATTTTACAGAAAGTTTCTAGACACTTTGAAACACACTATACATAACAATTTTCGGTCTGCTGACACAAAAAATTTTTTTACCTTAAAATCCTTAAAATTTGTTGTCGGGTCTCCACCATAAAAAGAAGTGAAATAAACCATTGTCACTGATTTCTTGTTGTACAAACGGCTAAATATCAATATTAGACAATTCATAAAGCAATAAACCATATCAAATTTTTTCATAAAAAATTAAATTTTCTTATTTTTAATTTTGTTAGAAAAACAAATACAGTAAATTATTTTCAATGACAATTGACGTTTCTAGTTTCTATTAATGCGGTGTTGCCAAATCGAGTAAGAAAACGTATACGACAGGAAATAGTTCGGTTAATGAAAGTTGGCTGTTTGCAAATGGCTCCAGGCAATACAGCGTAGCCGAAAAATTACAACATGTCATAACTTATCTACTGTTTGCAAAAAATACTTTTTTTTTAATTTGAGCTGTGTCCAGGCCGTTGGAGTTTATGCCGGTCGGCGTGGCCAGGTATGGGTTAAAATTTTCTGGTGGCGGCGAAGCCGCCTCCCTACAACAAGTCGTTACTTTCTCTTCTTATTGTATATTTTCTTATTATTAGATGCCCGCGACAAAGACATGTTCGTTAAAAGTTGGAATCCAGGTTCACTGGCCAGACGCTAGTGAGGGTTGGCAGAATTTTGTTCGAAATACGTTTGTTCGGAAACTCTTAGTTCAAAAATACGTTTCTTCGAAAAAGTCTTGTTCGAAAACACTATTTTTCGAAAAATCTTAGTTCGAAAATTGGTTTGTTCGATAAAGTGTAGTTCGAAAATTGGTTTGTTCGATAAAGTGTAGTTCGAAAATACTTTTGTTTTTTTAGGGTTGGGTAAATTAGTTAATATTTGTTTAATTTTTCATATCTTATGTATATATTTATTGTGAAGCAACTCGCGATGACTCCAGGCCGTACAGGTTAGGTAAATTAGTTGAAATTTGTTTAATTTTTCTTATTTTATGTATATTTTTTGAGAAGCAACCCGTAGTGACGCCAGGCCGCACAGGTTTTCCTGGTTTAGGGATCATAATGACTTCAGCTACTTTCCACAATCTAGGGACATACCTTAGTTTGAATGAGGCATTAAACAAGACATGTGTAAGTTTAATTATGGCTTTCTTCGGAAGTTGTTTTAAGATTTCTCCTGTAATTAAATCAAAGCCAGGAGCTTTCTTAGGATTAATATTTGTTTTTATATCTTCTGCAATTTCCTTTGGAGAGGTTGGTCTGATAATTGAGTCATCTCTCTCTAGAGGAGCCCAGTTCGGCAAGTCTTCTCCTTCATTTGGTTGGAATGTGTTTTGTAAGTGCTCTGCGAATCTATTAACTTTTTGTATGTTATTTCTAGCCCAGCTACCATCTGTATTCATGATTGGAGCATTCTGCAGTCTTTTTAATCGCTTTGTGGCTTCCCATAGAGAATAATCAGTGAATTTATCGTTTGCCAACTCACTAAGGTACTCACAAATAGATTCATTTCTGATTTTATCTCTCTTTTTAACTGCTCGGTGGCGTTGTTAAGTTTGGTTTTATCTGATGGAGCTCTGGTCTGATGCCATTTCCTCCTCAGTTTTCTATTTGAAGAGATTAGGTCTTTTATTTCTTTAGGATAGTTATTTCCTGTTGTTCGCTGCACATTAGGTGCATGTTGTATGTTGAGCACAAGTAGTTCTACTTTTTCATCTAGCTGTGCTTTTGTTCTTAACGGAACTGAAAGATTGATTTTATTTTCAAGGTCCAGTCTGTTCTCCTATTTATTGGTCTAGGAACGCTTTCCTTTTGGATAATGGTGTCACTAAGAGTGAGAAGAATGGGCGAATGATCTGAATTCATGTCCCATGCCTCAACTTGGATGTAGTTTGCTGAAATATTTCGTACAACAAAAAAGTATATTAGGTCGGGTATTTTGTTTCTATTTGTGGGCCAATAAGTTGGTTTGCCAGTTGAATGCGACTCACATTTTAACTGTGTCATTGCTTCTTTTAGGTTTTTACCCTTAGTTGTCGTTAGTCTGGAGCCCCAATGGGTGTGTTTTGCATTAACGTCGCCTCCAATGATAAATCTAGGTTCTTGACTATTGCGGAAATCTAGGTATTGTTCTTTTTTAATGGTATGTCTTGGAGGACAATATACAGAAGTGACCATAACATCAGAAGTTTTAGATTTTATCATTACTGAAGTAGCCTGAAATTCTTCAGTCCTGTATTCCGCTTCTTGATGATACTTAATTGGTTCTCTAATTTATTACTGCGCAACTCCCTCTTGCTGCATTTCGGGGATAAATGGTATGATAAACCTTATATCTCTTAAATTTTATAAAGGACTCATTGGTAAAAAGAGTCTCTGAAATTAAGCATATGTCTATGCTTTCTATATCTAGGATTGCTTGCAATTCTTGTTGGTGCTGCAGCAGTCCATTAGCATTCCATTATTATTAGGCTATTACTAATTATATTGTCTCTTAGGTATAACTCCTTTGCTACTATATTCTAACCTAGTAATTCGTTCATCCATTTTGTTCAGCTTTTAAAGTATTTGGTGGAAAGTATTGGTAATGGATGAATATTGATTGTTATCTATTTCTTCTTTTTTACCAGATACCGTCTGGCTGATTAATCTTGATTTGTCTATTAAATTAAACAGGAATTAAATTTGAAGAAAGTCAAAGGAAAAATAAAAAAAAATTAAATCATATTGATAATTAGAAGAATATAAGAATTGTATCAATATTTTAAAAAGCTGGAATATACAAAGAATTAAAAAAAGTAAACAGAATTTGATTTTTGGAGGCCGAGTAATAGTAGTAAGGGGTGCTAAGATGAGGAGTTGCGGAGGAAGAGGCAGATAAAATGTAATAGTACTTATTCTTAAGCAACCCATTTACGGTATATTTATAAACATATTTTATTGAATAAAAA